ACTTCGCCCAGCAGTCCGCCACAACATCGTAGGCCACGACGTCCAGACCTACGCCCGCGCAGTTGCCATTGCACAGGAAGTCGATGCCAGTATCCGACGTGAAGCCGTCCAGACACCAGCCCAGCCAGTTGCTCAACCACCAGCCCAACCCAAAGTTGCCCAACCATCACTACAAGAAATGTCAACTTTAACTAGACATTTACCTAGATCTTTGTAGGTAAAGTGCTTGCTGGTAAATTTTTGTCTAGCTATTTTATAGGTAAACGGATTTAGCTAGAAATTTTTGTCTAGTTAAAATTGACATTTCTTGTAGTGCATCAACCAACAAGAATAAAAGGAAGTTCAAAGGAGGTCCAGATGATCGCAAGAACCGCCAAAGACAGAAGACAATACCAGAATGCCCAACCTGCGGGAAACACCACCGTGGAGAATGACTCGTAGGCCAGTATGTTTGTTTCTTTTGCCGCCAGCCAGGTCACTTCAGCACCAACTGTCCAGAACGATTACAACAACAACCGAAACAACGTCAACTGCCACAGCAACCTCAACAACAGCAGCCCAGGCAGCAACCATCACGACCACAGCAACAACAACGCGGCAGACAGCAGGCCCGCGTCTTTGCAGTTGACCAGAGGGAGGCCGACCAGCACCCAGGTACCATGTCCGGGATGATTATTCTTAATGATGTGCCTGTCTATGCCTTATTTGATACCGGAGCGACCCATTCTTTTATATCACGACGATGTCTCGAAGCTATTGGGGCTCGTTCCACTACCGCTGTCGATCCTATCGAGGTGAGTTTAGTCTCGGGAAGAAAGATAGTGACTGACACTAGAGCCACCGATCTCAGCCTTTCCATCGGCGACCGTATTCTGATTACTGATACTTATGTTATCGAGATGAGGGATTTTGACCTCATACTCGGTATGGATTGGCTAACTCGATTTCACGCAGATATTCGATGTTACGACCGGGAGATTACTCTTTATCTTCTAGGAGATGATCAGATCACTTATTACGGCTCCAGGACTCGTACTCTGCCACATGTTATTTCTATGGCGAAAGCCAGAAAGATTCTTCGACGGGGAAATTGCCAGGGTTATCTTGTAAGCCTCGTTGGAGATGAGTCAAAGGCACGTTACCCTCATGATATTCCTATCGTTCGTGAGTTCATGGATGTCTTTCCAGACCAGCTTCCCGGAGGTCCACCTAGCCGACAGGTGGAATTTTCTATTGATCTTATCCCTGGAGTCGGACCCGTTTCAAAGGCACCGTACAGAATGACGCCTAAAGAATTGCAGGAATTAAAGACCCAAATTCAAGAGTTGCTGAATCTCGGTTTTATACGACCGAGCGTTTCTCCTTGGGGAGCACCAGTCCTTTTTGTCAAAAAGAAGGACGGATCTATGCGTATGTGTATCGACTACCGGGATCTTAACCGGTTGACGATCAAGAATAAATACCCGCTTCCCAGGATTGATGATTTATTTGATCAGCTGAGGGGTGCCTGCGTGTTTTCCAAGATTGATTTGCGTTCAGGCTACCATCAGCTGAAAATCAAGGAGTCAGACATACCCAAGACAACTTTTCGTACGAGATACGGTCACTTCGAGTTCGTGGTTATGCTGTTTGGCCTCAGTAATGCCCCGACAGTATTCATGGACTTGATGAACCGTGTATTTCATCCTTTTCTTGACTAGTTCGTTATTGTTTTCATCGATGATATTCTTATTTATTCCAAGAGCCAGGAGGAGCACGAGGAACACCTGAGGGCCGTTTTTTCGACCCTTAGACGCGAGAAGTTATATGCAAAATTCTCCAAGTGCGAATTTTGGCTTCAACGAGTGGCCTTTCTTGGTCACATTATTACTTCAGCAGGTATTGAAGTTGATCCTTCCAAAATTGCTGCAGTCCAGAATTGGTCAGCACCGAAGAATCCGTCCGAGGTTCGTAGTTTCCTCGGTCTTGTAGGTTATTATCGCAGATTTATCAAGGGGTTCTCGAAGATTGCACTCCCCTTGTCTCAGCTGACAAGGAAGTCTGTAAAATTCGATTGGACAGACCGTTGTGAGTCGAGTTTTCAGGAGCTGAAAAGGAGGCTTACGGCGGCACCAGTGTTGACTATACCAGATCC